CAAATCATCACACGAGCATCCACTAACTCGAAATTTAGGTTCGATTCAAAGAATCGCATGTCAAACTTGTTCTATGAGAAAACTTATTATTAAGCCTTCTTATGACAAGATTCATTCAAATCCTCATATTTTTCTACAAAGGATTCAGGGGGACATTTGTGGACCGATTCACCTTCCTTGCGGACCATTTAGATATTTTATGGTTTTGGTTGACGCTTCCACACGTTGGTCACACATGTGTTTATTGTCCACAAGGAACGCTGCATTCTTCAAACTATTGGCTTAGGTTATCAAGCTCAGGGCTCACCACCCTGATTATCTGATGAAATCTATTTGATTGGATAATGGTGGAGAATTCACGTCTAAAACTTTTGACGACTATTGTATGTCGGTTTGGGTTGAAGTTGAACATCCAGCACCTCATGTTCACACCCAGAACGGCCTGGCAGAGGCATTCATTAAGCGCTTACAAATGATTGCTCGATTGTTGGTCATATGTACTAAGCTCCTGATCGCTGCTTGGGGCCATGCAATATTGCATGCAGCTATGTTGGTCCGCCTGAGGCCTGTTGTGACCGAACCATATAGCGTTCTTTAGTTGGTTACCGGATACGAAGCTGACATATCGTATGTGCGCATTTTTGGTTGTGAGGTCTATGTGCCAATTTCGCCGCCCTTACGTACAAAAATGGGGCCTCAGCAAAGGATGAGAATCTATGTCAGATATGATTCTCCTTCAATTATTCCTTACTTAGAACCTTTGAGAGGCGATCTGTTTACCGCTTGTTTCACAGATTGTCACTTCAATGAGATAGTCTTCTCGTTGTTAGGGAGATAAGAATGTCAACATTCCTGAAGAATGACTCGAATTATCGTGGATGACTCCCACTTTGTTTCATTTAGATCCCCGCACCGCTCAGTCTAAAACTTAAGTACATCGCATATTAGATCTTTAGAGTATGCCAGATGTTTTCACCGATATAGCGCGAGTGACATGATCATATATTCCAGCTGCGAATGTGCCTGCAAAGATGGATGTACCAAATGTACGATGAATTTCCCTCCTGGAGGCCTGAGATGCCACTTTGGCCGATCTACTTACATTAATGGCTAGCCAATCATCTAGCCCCTCGCCCCCCCCTCGCCCCCCACCCCTTACAAAAGCATGGCAGACCACTTGGTTTAAAGGATTCACACCCTCGGAATAGGAAACCCACAACACATGCACCTGAAGAGCCTACCGTGAATCCGATTGTCACCTGCTCATTCTATCCAACTTATGAGGAAATTCTAGATTACGGAAGTGTCCTTGAAGAGACGAATTCACCTCCCGAGAATCGTGAGATTTCAGTCCATTATGCTAGCTTGGATGATGTTTGGTGTAGAAATGAGATGATCGTCAACGATGCATTAGCATATGCAGTAGCTACTAAGATCATGTTGAGTGATGACATTACTCCTGAAGTATACTTGCTTGATCTTAATGTACTATTTTTCCTTACAATTAGGAGCATTTTTTCCACTGATTTTTGCTACCTAACAAGGTTTTGATGAGGTGCCCACCTTGGGTTGATCATATCCCTGATGACGTCCCCTAGACGTTTCATTTGACTTTGCATTACTCATGCATTTTTCCTTAGACTATGGATTTTGTCCTTACTCGGGTTTTTACCATAGCCTTTGGAGGAGAATGATTTCTTCTATGTTATTACTATAAATAAAGGCACTGCGTAGGAGGAATAACACATCCTCTACACAACTCTACAAACACATCACTCACTCTATATTTTCTCTGTGCCGCCAGCCCACTCTTCCCTGTCAGTTAAATATAGGCCACAATAGTGGATACGTTATCTGTTTATCGTGGAAAGTGATGAATAAGTTATCTGTTTATTGTGGAAAGTGACGAATAAGTTATATGTTTATCGTGGAAATAGTGGATATGTTATCTGTTTATCGTGGAGATTAACAAAGTGTGAAATTTGAGAGAACATAGTGTGAAGTTAAAAAAAAAAAGGTGGTGGAGAAGTTATCTGCATATCGTGGAGATTAACATAGTGTGAAATTTGAGAGAACATAGTGTCAAGTTAAAAAAAAAAAGGTGGTGGAGAAGTTATCTACATATTGTGGAGATATTTTTTGTTTGTTTCTTTTTAAAATACTAGTAATGGGCCCACACACGATATGCGTGCGAGAAATTAACATAGTGGAAGGTTAAAAAGATTAAAAAAGTGGTGAAAAAGTTATCTGTATATCGTAGGGATATGTTTTTATCTTTTTTGTGTGTGTTTCAAATTTACTTTGATGATATGTGAGTGAGGAAAAAATAAAATAAAATTTTGTTGTGTGAAATTGATTTTTTTCCTGCTATTTTCTTTTAATTATGGAAGAAGGGTTATCGGTTATTGGTATTTTTCTCTTATTTTTCTCTTTTAATTATACAATTGAAGAAAATGAAAACTAAATTATACAATTGAAGAAAATGAAAACTAACGAAAAGTCCAACAAAAACTTTAGTTTTAATAAAAAGGGACAAATAAAGGTGTAGTGCATAGTATCAGGAAAATGTAAAAATATGGTTTTTTGTTAAAAGCGAACAGTACTGTGAGTATTTCGTTAAAACTCCTTTGAAGAAAAGCTTTTTATTCAAGTGGCTCTCCAATTGTATAGTGTTTTGCTCGAACCACTATCAATTTTCTCATAGAAGTGAAACTCTCAAATAAACGCACATATTTTTACTATATATTATTATTTTTTTCTCGAAAAATAAGAAGAAAAAAAAAAACAAATGCACATATTATACGTAGAGTAATTTTTACTTTACTATTTTAAGTATCACAAAAGTTGCATTTTGTTACAGTTATGTATTTTCATCAACTTTCATACTTGAAATTTGATTTTTATGTCATTTTTATACTTATGTAAGTCTATCCCTCAATTACTGTGGCAACTTTGGCCCACCAAAAATTTAAAATTATTAAAAACAAAAAGAAAAAAAAATTAATAAAGAAGATCTATTTTTCTCCCATACAGCAACCAACCCCACGCCACCGCACACCCCCATTCGCATTCCCCCACCACGCAATCTCGCCCTCGTTTCTGACCAGCCGTTGGTCGAATCTGCGATTGGCTTGAAACGAGGCGGTTGCCCGATGCACATTGGTTGACCACGAATTCAATTTGACCCACGACCCGACTCGCTTCATCTCTTGACCCAAAAAACAAGCCTGACCTACTTTATTCGCCAAATCTGCAATGTTTACAATAAGATCGAATCTTTTGCGCTTGTTTTAGTAGCTGGCCTCTCTTTGCCTCTATAATTAATTTATCCTTTATGACAATAAAGTTATAAAAATGAAATTTATTAACATATGGTCTTCAATTATGTTTGCAATATGAGTTAACTCTCAATACGTCATCGTGCTGATTTTCAACTCTACACGTGGACAACAAATGGGTGATACGTGAGCACGTGTGTTCTTTTGGGCTTTCAAGGGACAACTTGTTCTGAAACTATGAAGAAGTTGGACTTCTATCATAAAACCTGATTAGCAATATATAAAGTAGCCTAACCTCTTATAAACACGTTCAAGGTCTCTTCTCTCATCAATGTAGGATTCATTCTCAACATGTCTCATCATGTGCGACGAATTTTCAAACCTAACACGTGAACAATGCAACTCAGGTGACGTGGAGCACATATAATTGTTAAGTTTCACACATGAAACAATTTGCTCTAATACTATTAAAGAAGTTGAAGATTTGAACTCGTTTACTAAGCCCGTAACATTGGCTTTACTGGCTAGGGCCCAGGCGTGGTGTGTTCTTCGTTTTATTCTTTTCATTTTTAGTGAATTTGCATTTTTGAATTTGCTGTAGAAGTTGGGAGTAGTGGCCGGTGTGGTGGTTTTTGGATGGGTGTTGTGGGTGGGATTAGGAGGGATTGTGACGTCAGGCGAGTTGAAGGTAAAGAGATTATACTTGTGTTTTTTTTTTTTTCAATTTATTTCAGATAAAACTGAAAATTCAAGAAAATATTTTAAAACTTAGGTGTGAAAACAAATTTATTACCCATGAAATAAAATTTCTTATAATTTTTCATGCTCCCCAATTTATTGTCTAATATGTGGAGTATCTGCTTAAATATCTGATACTTAAAAAATTCTTTTTATAACACGATATATTATCATGATGTCGTTGTATACTAACATAATTAAAATGTGTATTTTTATTCTAATATTTTTATTTTCTCGTCACAAAAATGCATAGTGGTATACTCATAGCATTTTGTTGTTATCTTTCTAGTCACACGGAAAAAAATCTATGTCGAAATTAGTGGAATATCTGATACCGTACACACTGATAATGTGCAGCTTATCTGTCATGCACCACTAGAATTCTCCACACCAGTGATCATACACTGTTTTCGTACACACTCAGAAAAATGGTGCCTACTTTGCGACCCCAAACACATGCAGATAATGTGGTTGATTGAGTAGGTGGTCGGTTTAAAAAGCATAAAATCATATGGGACCACGATGGCCATTGCATAGTGCAAAGGCAATGTGATTTTGCTTATTGGAATGACATTTTAACTTGTTCGCGCGGAAAAAGAATTAGATAGATTGCATATATTGTGACGGAGGCGTCAAACAATATAATGTCATTTGGAGTGAGATTAACGGGTGACATTGTGTTATTGGATTGAAATACTATTGTAACGGTGTACTCAATTCAGTTAAGTCATTTTCGTTGATATGAGATCTCCTTTTAACTCAGCTACTTGAAGAGGAAGAACGTTATATTTGTGCTCCAATGATTCATCAAAGAAACACCAACATATGCAGATTCTGCACTGTTTGCGCAGCGCTCGATCAATGTCCAAGAAGCACAACGAGAAGATGTTCCCTTATTGGCGTTATGCATTGTTCATTGCTGCCATTGTTGGTAACGTTTGTGCAAAAGTTTGTAATGTTCCACGAACTATTTACGCTTTTAAGTACAGTAGAAGCGAATCATCTTCCCCAAGTCCAAAACTTATTGGCTAAAGACAAAGCATATACATGGCCTCTCTTTACAAGTTTCTTAACAAGAAGCAAATCCAACACAAACTAAAGATAACATAGGAATTAAAACAACTTTTCTTGGTTCCTATCAAATATCCCCGGTCCAAAAGTAGAAATTAATAACTCGGCAAGGAACGGAAATTGCATCCATATGAACGAGGCAACTGGAACACTGGCAAGCAAAATGCTTGGAATAACAATCGCTTTTTTTCCGTCAAGCATCATGTAAAGTGCACAAGAAAAGGCAATCATCATGGTTGCGATAGATAAAAAGAGGGTGAAAAGGCCTATTATCATTTTTGTGGGCAATGATTTGAGGAAATCATCTTCAGAATAGCGTGATGTGAGAATTCCAAGAAACATGATAACCGAAGTTGTGGAAGAAAAGAGTGAAACTGCATCCGAAACTATAAAAGTTGTGAATACCTTTTGACTTAAGAATGTAGGAAGACCTGTATCTCCATTATTTCCACCAGGAAATGTGAATGCTGCGGCAAACATCATGGTAACAATGAGGGCACCTACAACTGTACAAGAAGTTGATGTGTTTTTCATTAATTCTTCTGCCTCTTTCCCCAATTCTTTATGGCTCTTCATAAATACTTCACGTGGCGTCATATGATCTTTATTTATAGATTCACGATCATTGTGATCTGCAACACTCTCCACCTCCTGCATTTCATCCAACCAAAGAACTATTTAGTGATGTGACTGTGAAGTACATCTCTTCATATCCTTGAACAATATTTTCCCTTTGAGACACCATTATGAAGTACTTATTGTTATTTGACAATGCGAGTTTGTAAGTAACAACATATACTTAACATGATAATATATATGCTCTAACTGGTTAGTAAGTTAATATGACGCTAATCACTAGTTTAGGCTCACTCCACAGATAACCACTGGTTTAGGCTCACTCCATAACAAAACTTCATGGTCCAAACTATTCATTTTGAAAATCATCATTCGAAGATCACCCGTACAAAATATTAGTAAAAAATTGGAAATATAAACATAAACATATATAGATAAATAGATAAATAGTCACCTTGAACCATTGTAATTCTCTTTACATTTGTAAAGCTGCACCTCGAATGTGATTAATCGTTGACAATGTCATTGAGGAAATACTTCCTACTGTATGTAGCATATTATTGCCAAACTTATCAACGAGGCCGACAACCTCACTTCTTTTCATTTTGGTCAATTTTACTACATCACTTTGATCGGAGTCATCAAAGGCATGTATAAGATTATAAACTTTGTGCTGACGGCATTCAGCGGCAACTTGGAACAAGTTTTGTCCTTTTTCGTTCCGAATTAAGGTTAAGGCGAATGAGGAAGCTCTGCATAAATGAGTAATATACTCCACATGCCCTTTTTCTGCTGCTACGAACAATTCTTTGTTCAAGCATACGATTTGGTCAAAATCCCTAGTTTCTATCAAATTCTCAAACATGAGGGGTAGAAACTGGTTGATTCTCTCATGCATCAATTTCATCCGATATATACGACTGATTCCTAAATTCATTGAAACAAACATAAATTTCAAACATTTTAAAATATATATATTGACTATTAATTTAACAATAATAATAATTCCTCAATTTAACGATAAGAATATGTGGCCTACCCAAAAGTTCTTGGAGCTTCGTCACCAGTCCTCGGATATATAAACCCAGTACTGCAATGCAAGTCCAATATTATGGCCATAAACGTTGGTTAATACACACACACACGCTATAATAAAACAAGGGGAAAAAAAAAAAGAGGGAATGGAAGATAGGTATAGGACAGTATATCAGCTAGAAACAACTTGAGCTTGTAGTGGGTTTGGCTTGTAGAAGAAGCAAGTCAACACTTTGCTTGAGCTAGTTAGACAAACCAAGCTTGAGCAGCGTGATAGTTTGTTTGGCTAGAGTCAGTTATAGCCATAAGTAGGAAGTGTAAATACGGATTAAGATGTTCATACATGTATATTTGTAGTAGCATTATAGAACAACTTACCATGGCATTAACAAAAACCAAATCGCAATTCAAACACATAATATACCTACGGAAATGAGACTCTGATTCTCTTTTTGGTCTGACACATGCCCTTGATCACTCTGAATATCATTGTTGATGGAAGGAAGATGTTTCATGCGTATACCTATCAAGAAAAGAATATAAGCCCAAACATATTAATCGAATCAAAAACTTCTGAAGCTAAGTTTTTTTATGTTTTGTACTGATTCAGTACTTCTAATTGGATAATTACTCTATCATAAAAATGTTAATTGCTATAAATGTCACGAACCAAACATATATAAGCCTGGAAGTAAATGATATATATTACATGGCAATAAGTTTCGAGCATTTTTTAACATTCCGAAAGAACTCGGCCCTCAAACCAACATGGGACATTGCTATAAGTGTTATGCTCGTTCATTTGTTCGTGCTCAATGTCTTGGTCTTTTTCATCCTCTAATGGGCGCTCTTGAGGCCTATCTCATTTAGGCCCAAAGACAGCTCTATCTTATTTTAATGGTCCAACAGGACCTTGTGCTAACACAGACATATATTGCTTTTTTTTTCTTTTTTTTTTTTTTTAGAAAATTAGAGTCCGCTTAATCAGTTATTTGTTGCTTCAAAAACTGATTCGTTAGATCAAATATGGGGAAACAAAACACTAATTACAAAATCTGTTGATGTTAATCTTGTGAACATAGTAGAGCTAAAGGATATTTGTTGTGGAGGGTAACTCTGAAAATTGTAGTCACGTAATAAAGGCATATATGAAGAGCAAATAAAAAGTGGTATTGTACTAACCGTAATATATCAAATTTTCCCAGAAATTGAGCCGGCATCCACTTAAGAAAGCAGAACGGTTACTGGCCAATGTTAATAAGGGAAAATCTCCGTTGTAGTTTTTAGCCATGCCCAATTGTGGATAACGTTGAATCAAATCCCACGCAATATCTATATATAATAGAAGTGTGAATAAAAAAAAAGAACATTGTGAGTTTGCAGAAAAAATTTGCAACAAAAAAATTCACACGGGCAAAGAAGATACAAGGCAGTGACATTACTAATTGGTCATGTTTGAAAGTCGATATTCTATCCCTTACCAAATCTATGGAGGTGAAAACCGAGAGAAATTAGTTGAGCGGCATCGCTAACGTGTAGAGTGTCGTGTGGAGTGACCGAATACAGATAACGAGCCATTCTTTCCCCATTTGACAACCTCTGAGCCTCGACAACTAGAGGAGTCGTCCTGTTGCCGATGGTATTGGCAGGTAAAATACTAAGTAACTTGTCGTTCTTTTCAACCATGCTTTTAGCTACGTCCACCCTATCTTGACAAAATGTTATTAAAAGAAAAAGTGCTGTCAAACCAAGATTGTCTTGTATTTCCAAGTCTTCCTTTGTCATTGACTCTACCAGCTGTTTTATGATGCGCACCCTACTTCTGAAATTCCAGAGGGCGTAGTGAAGAGCTGTACCGCCACCTGGAATTCTGTCATCTGAAATTCTTTCACTTCCGAGCTCGTGATGGTTGCGAAGTAACTTGATCGCATTATCCCAATCTCCCGACTTCACAGATTTGACGAAAGTTTCCCGGATATCATTGCCACTGCTCTCATCAAGTCCTGCGTGCCATGTTTTATATACAAATTCTAACATTGTTAATAAAACTTCTCTTAGCAATCGATACAGATTTAATTAGTATTGATTAGAATTATATACAAGTCTTAATGTATATACCTCCAGTGCGCCCTTCTTCCTTTGCCAACTCTCGGATGGCATCATGTTGAATGGTTCGTGTTGGATACGCTTGAACAAGTATCCTCTCGTCTGAAAAAAGAAATCTTGGTGTTCAGATATTACCATTGTAAGAATATTAGCATTAGTATGAGTCTGTGAATTTAGTTATTGAATTCAAGATTGAATAGGAAGTCTTGTTGGGAATGGATTTGTAATCCATGTTGTTCTGAAACACTTGAGGAACAAAGATATTGAACTACTATTTGAATAGAATCGGTTTTCTATAGAACTTGGCTAGGATTACGTTGTATATATAGTGGCCTCTGCTCTCACAGTTTGCACGCTCTATCATCGGACTAAGACCTATTATTAGTTAGAGCAATAGTTAGAGCAAACTGATTACTGGAGAGAGGAGAAGGTGCACTGCTTGTTTGCTGCAGAACTTGGACATGGCTGCTTCTTCTAGTTCGTCTGCAGGTACTTCTCTATGCTACAGAATTATGAATTGGGTTTTGTGTTTTGATCACTGTGATTAATATCACATGTTTCTGGTATATGTTTGTGCTAACAACCATTCAATTCTCAATTTGCCTGTTCTTTTTCCTTCTTACAAATGCCTTTGTTTGTGAGAAGTTCAGCTGGTACTGGAGAATAATCGTTCGCACATTTCTACTTATCAATTTATGTCGTACCTCTTCTGTCTGATGATTGATCACGACCTGGATTCAATTTTTCTAACAAAGTATCCCATGCTTCTTTGGCCGTGGTTGCGCTCTTGATAAATTGATAAGTATCATCCCCGCAAGAATTCTGGATTGCATATAAGGCCTTGACATTCTTCATTTTCCAAGCCTTAATTTCAGTTTCTTTTTCTTCTGCTGTTTTGATAATTGGTAAAGATCCCTAGAGAAAATAGGAAAATGAGAATATATGACATAAGTATGAATTTAAATACAATCTAATTTCCAAATAATATGAATATCATAGAACATACATCAGTTGGCAAGGGGTCAATAAGAGGCGGTTTTTTATATATGCCTTCGACAATATCCCAAAGATCTTCTGCCATCAAGTAAGTCTTAACCCGAGGAGTCCAATCGTCATAGTTCTTAAGGTTAAGAACTATAGGAACAATTGTAGCTGCTGCCATGTTCAATCTGCCTACTTATTCAATGAGATTTTATGTCAATCGGGCATATGTGAAACCAAAAAAAGGAAAAAAATTTGAAACAAAGGAAGTCTAGGCATACCTTAAACGATGACACATAAAAAAGTCACTGACGAGACGGCCCAAATGTGATGACAAGCTTGAACAACCACCAAGGCATGTAAGGATAAGGGCTCTGAGAAACCATATACCCCCGGATGATATCTGCAAATAATACTCGTCTTAGAATCTCAACAGGAATTTGGGGCCAATTCGGGATTTTAGCTATGACATAGATTGGTGATGATGAGGCGATGCAAACGAAGGAGGCAAAGAGGTTGAAGGAGACGAAGAACTGAAATCGTCTGGATCTGCACATACAAATCACGATCAAACCCCAACTTCAAAACTCGGCAATGAATTTCCCCTCCCCTTCCATCTGCTTCATTACTTTGGCGCAAGCCTTAAGCGCGAAATTTAAGGTTAAATGACCCGACCCCACACCCATCTCCTGCATATTGTTGTAAATGTGTATAGCACGGACGGGGAAGACACGGTTTAAGCTCCAGAAATGTCAACAACAAACACTTCATTTTTTTTTTTTTTTTTTTTTTTAACACTCTCTACTAGAATTCTGCAGAACAGGTGATCTGTTGATCGCACATAATTATGATTCCATTTTTCTCACCCCAAACACAAACAATTTGATGATTGAGTAGGTGTCGGTTTAAACATCATAAATTCATTGCTTGTGGATTGACTATGTCAGGACCACAAGTAAGAAAATGTGCCACGAGCTTTGGCGACTTCATGAGTGTAAACTCTTTACTGTAACAAAAGAAAGAGAAGAAAAAATAAAAGGGCAAGAGTAATCTCACCGTAGATGTGATGGATGTCTTTCTTTTTCTGGTCCACTTATATTCTTTTTTTTTTCATCTCTTTACAAGATCTAGAACTCGAAAAACGCATAAAAATACCAAAAATCTCACATTCACCGAACTTTAATAAATTAAAGAAAGGGGTTGAGAAGAGTTACTTCTTAATTCACTGGGATATATTCAATTAGGATTTTGAGAAATTTTAATTTTTTTAATGAATCTAGGGGTATTTAATCAAGATTTTAAGTGATTCTCTAAAATTCAAGGTGTATTCAATTAGAATTTTAAGATAGTTTATTAAAATCCTTAGAAATTTGGGTGTATTATAGTTTATTAAAATCCTTAGAAATTTGGGTGTATTCAATTAAGATTTTAAAGAAATTTATAACATTCCATGTGTATTCAATTAGAAATTGATTTTAAAGAATTTGAGAAAGTTGAGGAATTAGAGGGAATTGAAGAGATTTCGTAGTGTATTTTAAGCATCTACAAATCTCACCTCTCTCGATGAGATTTCGAGAAAATTGAATCAAAATTTTATATAGAATCTCTACAAATCAATTGAACTCTATAAAAATATATGGATTTATAAATCCATTAAAATCTTTCAAATTCTCAATTGAATACATCCCACTTAGTTGCCTATTTACAGAACTTTGTGCTTATAATTAAAATTGTTCATATGATAAATTGATCTAAAAAGGTTATCTTTATAAAAAACAATTAAAACTAAGAATGTTTAATCAGTCAACTGTAGTGAATAAATAGACGGTCCATAACTTATTTAAGAATCCATCCATCTATGTTTTATAGTTCGATGACCAAATAATCTCATTTTTTTAATAGAATTTTTGTAGAGATGATCTTAATACAGTGATCTATAATATTCATGTCTATGATAAACCGTTTATAATATAAACTGACCAAACATCTTGATGTACTCCAAAAAGGTCGGCGAAGTCCATCGACTTTGCTAAGATTGATTGTTCTTGTTCTGCAAGACAGGGAAAACCTGATCCAACTCGGATAATACGAGTTTACTATATTTTTGGATATTCCTACAATCTAAGGATTAGGGCGTGACTCAAGTAATCACACTCCTAAATGAAACAATATCTAATCCTAGATATTTTTTAGATTCTCTTAGTTTAATAGAGATTGTATATTCTAAAATGTTTCTCCCGACTTGTATAAATACTCTCATGTAGAGTAGATTTCTAGTAGCAATTCTGTAACGCATACATTATTCTCTTTTTTCTGCTTGAATCTCAATATTGCTTACTAACTTGACCGTTAAAACTTTTTGTCAGTACTGCACCGTTGCCAAGGTCTGACTTCAATTGTAACGTCGAAGCATTTTGCTACTATCCCATCGTTGCCAAGGTCTGACTTCAATTGTTTGTTTTCTCATAGGTAGCTAGACTTGCTCACCACCTTTGTCTACGATGCTGCACAAATTTAATTTCGATAGATCATCTTGTACTGACTTGGTTTATTGCAAGGAAGAAAGAGGTGAAAGTTGCACCATCAGATACACAAATATTATCCTTACAAGAAAGTGTAATCAAACTTGTGAAGCAAAAAATAATCAAGAAAATTATGAAGACAACACGTAGGTTTTTGGGTAAAAATGACAAAAATTAACCTCAAGACACATCGGGATTCCCACGCTCGTGCAACAGACAACAATAACTCAATTAAGGAAGAGTCAAAGGTGATCAAAATGGTATTTATTTAAATCTCTCTCATCACTCCTCATCAAATCCCCACTCAAAAGGTAACTCCCAATTATCCTATTTAAATTAGGATTGATTGCCTAGATTAATTGCAAGATATTATTTCATATAATATCTTGCAATCAAATCCCTAATTCCACCAAAAATGGCCGGACCCTATTCCCCAAATAGGGCCGGCCACACCTCTATAAATAGTCCTATTTTTCCCACTAAAATGCTAATTCATTATCTCCTTAAAATTCCTAAATACTTTCTCTCAAATTCTAACTTTGGCATCGGAGGCTTTTAGGCCAAAGCTCCTCCCCCCATTCATCGTGTAAGCGTAAGACTCTTAATCTTAATCTTAAGTGTTATTATTTTATAGATGTATTTTAGTCAAAAAAGAAAAATAAGGAAATTTGCATCCACAAAACTTGTTCCTCTTTTGGTTCACTTGTTCTCTTATCTTATCCCTTAACAAGATCTAGAAGCTCCAAAAACATATAGAAAAAGTTGAAAGTAATTCTGATATGTACAACATAAGTCTCATGTCCCCGCTTCTTAGTCAATCCCTACTAGAATTCTCCACAACAGACGCATTAGACATTTATTATAAATGATTGCGGAGCCTTCTTTGTCTGCCCACCTCCAAGCGTAGACACGGTTTCGTCTCTTCATTTTAGCAAGACTAAGACAACCCTTTCAATTTGACCCAAAAAAAAAAAAAAATAGGACACTTCAACTGTGCATGATTCATAACAATCGAATCGTCAGGATTTTTTTCGAACTCTCTTTATGAAGAGTCTAGGATCAACTCCTCTTAATCGTTCATCGAATATTATGCAGTCAGTTTTAAGTTAGGATTGTTTGTGTTCAATTTAAATAAAAATTTTAAAATAATTTCTAACCACGTGGTGACTGATAACCAGATAGAATTAATTGATCTCTAATATCCTCACAAAGAGGATCCGAATACGATCATGTTCCATAACAATCATAAATTAGCCTGGAAACAAGAAGTGTTGTTCTTTTGCCACAAGTATGAAAATCAAATATTGATATTTTAATTTTACTAAGAGGCCTTATCTCATTAAGAGATATCGGCTATATAAATCCTTCATTATCATCAGAATTCAATTTAAAAACAGAATGTCAGCTGTCAACTGCTTGACACCCTCTCATCCTCCTTTATTCAAGATTGAGAGTAGCGGAGTTAAACTTATTCCAGCACTATTTTAAAAAATAATCTCATTAAAAAAAAAAAGATAGGTGTAAGCTCACTTTGAAGTGTTGTCCTTATATATCTTTGTTTCAATTGGACAAATAGAACTTTAAGCTAAAAATTCCACATTACGAATATGGTCCCCTTCTTCGAATTTCAAATTTTTTAAATTAATCCCACGTGATTTATTATTTTACTTGTTGTACTATGGGTGGATGCATAATTTGATGTCTCATTAGTAAACTATTTTGATAAAAGTGAGGAGAAATTACATTTTACCGACTAAAATTTAAATGTAATTATAACCTTATACAGCATGTTTAAAATATTTCAATTTCATATATTTAGTTGATATTTAATTTGAATTTCATACATTCATTAAAAATTCAGTTCAGTTTATTATTTATGGGTGATGCATAGTTAGAAGATTATAAAAAAATTAATTTAAAAAGAAAATAACTTTTTATGCCAAGTGGCCCCACCCCGTTCAATCGTAGAGTGCAGTCTGAAATGAAATGGGAAACGCCTTCAAATTCAATCAACCAATCCAAAATTCCATTAACGTGAAGCATTCAAAGATTCAAAATAAACAAAAAATGGAAAATGGAAATCGAAGGGTCGTTCCATGTTTGAACACCGGATGATATCTGCAAATAATGCTCGTCTGAGAATCTCAACAGGAATTTGGGGCCAATTCGGGATTTTAGCTCTGAGAGAGATTGGTGATGATGAGGCAATGCAAACGTAGGAGGCAAAGAGGTTGAAGGAGACGACGAACTGAAATCGTCTCGATCTGCACATACAAATCACGATCAAACCCCAACTTCAAAACCCGGCAATGAATTTCCCCTCCCCTTCCATCTGCTTCATTAGTGCGAAATTTAAGGTTAAATGATCCGACCCAACACCCATCTCCTGCATATTGTCGTAAATGTGTATAGCACGGACGGGCAGACACTGTTTTTTTTTTTTAACACTCTATTAGAAATCTGCAGAACAGGTGATCTGTTGGTCGCACATAATCATGGTTCCTTTTTTCTTACCCCAAACACAAACAATTTGATGATTGAGTAGGTGTCGGTTTAAACATCATAAATTCATTGCTTGTGGATTGACCATGTCAGGACTACAAGTTAGAAAATGTGCTATGAGCTTTTGCGACTTCATGAGTGTAATTTCTTTACTGTAACAAAAGAAAAAGAGAAAAAAAATAAAAGGAAAACTAATGAAAATGGTTGAAAACTTTGAATTTTAACAATAAAGACAAAATAAGAGATAAATTGAATAGTACCATGATTGACTTTTTAATGTAAAAATATGATTTTTCGTTAAACTGAACATTACAAGAACTTTTCGTTAAAATTTCGAAAAATAAAAAGGGAAGTGTAATCTCACCGTTGATGTGATGGATGTCTTTTTTTTTCTGGTTCACTTATATTCTTTTTATTTTCATCTCTTTACAAGATCTAGAACTCCAAAAACACATAAAAATACAAAAAATACAAAAAAAAAAAAAAAAAATCTCACATTCACCGAACTTTAATAAATTAAAAAGAGGGATTGATAAGAGTTCCTCCTTAATTTTGCTTATTCACAGAACTTTATGTTTATAATTAAATTGTTCATATTATAAATTGATCTAAAAATATTATTTTTACAAAAATCAATTAAAATTAAGGATGTTTAATCAATCAACTGGAGCAAATAAATAGACGATCTGTAACTCATTTACGAATCCATCCATGTTAGTTCGATAACCAAACAATCTCATTTTTTAATTGAATTTTTTAGAGATAATCTTTATACAATGATTTATAATATAAAGGAAAAATTAGGTTCACATCCTTCTTTTTGTTACTCCATTGATTAAAATCCTATTCATTTTGAATTTTTGATCAAGGTCCTTGGGTATTAATAGCATTATTAATTATTTGAATAATAAAATATTTTTATTTTTAAATATATTCCTTTAGTGTTAAAAATGTTACAATTAGTATATTTATATTTATGGCTAAATTTTTTATCATATATTTTTATTTTTAGTTTGTACCTATT